AATATGCCATCTTTAAATTAAAAGCTGGTAATAAAACTGTCAATTGTTTCAATAAGATCTTCTCAGCTAGAGATTTTGACATTGAGAAAGGTTTAGACATTCATCCAGCTTTATTGAAACGGTTGAATTGACATAAAGGCCTCCCTAATATGACAGGCTATCAATTTTTACTGATGGATCTAAATTGAATGGTCATGTGAGGGCAGGCTTTTGTGTGTTCTCTGATGAGAAACTAAGCTTTAAATGGAAATATAGACTTTCTGACAATGCCTCTGTCTATCAGGCAGAGTTAGTCGCTTTGTGAGAGGCCTTATATTGGCTTATTTCTAATTCTGTGCTAGATCCTGTGGAAATCTATAGTGATTGCGAAAGCACAGTTGTTTCAATTACAGATGTTTGTCCAAATAACGGTCTAATTAAACAGATAAAAGATATGCTCACTTTTCTTAGTGCTTTCAGAGATGTTAAACTCTTTTGGACAAAGAGTCATATTGACACCATTGGTAACAAGTTAGCAGATAGATGGGCAAAGGCTGCCACTGAAAATAAAATAATTCATTTTTAAGCAAAGACTTCCTTTGACAGTTTAAAATCCTTGTTGAAAAGAAAAAGACTTGACTCTATAGCAAGCAAAGTGCAACGACCCGGATTCTAAAGGAAGATTCAAATATAATTTAATCTACACTGTAAGTGAGAGAAGATGCCTAAGTGACAAGTATCTAAACCAAGCTTTAACTAATCATAGACAATTTTCCTTTTATTATAATAGGTTTTCTATTAAAAATTGTTCCTGTCCATGTGTAATGTCAATATTGAGCACCTGTTGTTTAGATGCTCTTCTATGAAAAATATTGTTCTAAGATTTATTCCAGATATTGTTAAATTTAATATTCTAAAGGATTTTAAGTAAAATACAGTGACTAAATTGAAATTGTCAAATTTCATAAAATATGTATCTGTAAATAAAATGAATGTATATATTGATTGTGTTTAAAATTTTGGTTGATCTTTACATTACGGTAACTGGTAGTTTGGCGACATTTTGGAGGCGATAAAGGTTACTACCTGGGACTTTGGTAATAATGTGAGCAGTACCGAGTTCCGATTACGCATTATTTTGTGTGGGGGAAATAAGAGATCATGGGATATGTCATGTGATATTAATGGACGAATTACGGTTCTTTAATCGGAAAAGGGGGGAAATCGGGAAAAAATCTGGAAATTTTGTATTTGGCTTTATTCTGTGTTGTGTGAAATAGTGTTTGTGAATTTTGGATCCCATGGCCGTAAGTAAAGTGAATTCGAAATGGGTATTTAGTGGTATTGAAAAGGATAGTAAGAAATGTTTTTTAAGGTTGTGTGAGAGAGAAATAAACATGTTATTATGTTATTTATTTTCCCTGGTATCTTGCTTTGAAAGATAAGTATGATTTTAAAGATTCTGAAAGAGAATGAAGAAAGTGTATCCGCCACGTAATGAAGATTCTGAAGGAGATTAGGTAAGTTAGTATTTTTAATTATTTTTATGCATTGTTGGAAATGTAAGGGTGGAAAGGAATTTGGTATTATTGGGAAAATTGTTATTAGCAATGATTTAATTTAAAGTAATTAGGATTGTAAGGTAATTTTTATTAATTGAATGTATGTGCTCATGTATATTTTAAGTGGTGTTTTTGAATTTAATTATATTTTAATGAAATGATAGTTATTTTGTGAATTTTATATACTTGTAGGAATTTGGTGTATGTTTAAGTTGAAATAAATGTGCATGGAAATAATTTAAATATTTGATAATAAAATAATTGTAATGCTTCATGTATGAATTCGTTGGTGACGTGTGTATAATGTAATAGATGATTTAGAGGTAAAAGTTTTTGGATATTTTATTTATTTTATATGTGGAAATGTTCATATTTGTAAAGGGTAAATACTTTTTCGCGATCATGTAATTTCATATATGTTCTTTTTACCGGGTTTAAAGATTGAGAAAATTGTCATGTATTTTCGTGAAATTTTTTTAATTTATGAGATAAAAGCAGTGTACATGGATATAGTGAAGAGTGTGCGGAATGCCATTTTTGTGCAATTCTGGGATGTTTTTTTAAGTAAAAATAAGTCGACGTGTACATGGTTCAGTGATATTTTAATGAAACGATAGTTATTTTGTGAATTTTATGCTTGTAGGAATTTGGTTTACGTTTAAGTTGAAATAAACGTGCATGGAAATAATTTAAATATTTGATACTAAATATTTGTAATGCTTCATGTATGAATTCGTTGGTGACGTGTATAATGTAATAGATGATTTAGAGTAAAAGTTTTTGGATATTTTATTTATTTTATATGTGGAAATGTTCATATTTGTAAAGGGTAAATACTTTTTCGCGATCAGGTAATTTCATATATGTTTTTTTTACCGGGTTTAAAGATTGAGAAAATTGTCATGTATTTTCGTGAAATTTTTCGAATTTATGAGAAAAAAGCAGTGTACATGGACATAGTGAAGAGTGTGCGCAATGCCATTTTTGTGCAATTCTGGGATGTTTTTTTTAAGTAAAATAAGTCGGCGTGTACATGGTGTTTAGTGTATGTTTAGTTATTTTGAAAAACGCGTAAAGTTGTATGGTATTGTGCACTTTTTCCGAATTTTGCAGTGAATATTTGTCATGATTAAGCAGTTTTGTTTGATAAAATTTCTAGCATAAGTGTAATTCGGCTAGTAGATTGTTGGAAGAAGTGTTCAGTAGATAAGAAGAAAAGAAACATGTCTTTACTTCGTGAAGACAAAATGGCGGCGGGGAAAAAAAATAGAGGGTTGCTGTAGGGGAGTTGGTCGCCAAATTTTCGCCAAGTTACCGTAATGTAAAGATCAACCAAAATTTTTCTCCTGTGTTAAGAAAAACTAGGGTGTTTATAATATTCTGTTATTTTATTTCTTTGTATATGTAAGTAACATATTTTTATGAATGTAAGTAACGTGTTATATTTTTCAAAATATTTAATAATGTGCTTTTGTTGGTGTAGCTGGTAAATCTCACCAGCTCCTAGACTTAGGTTCATATTTTAGTTGCTTATTCTATTTAAAGTTATTTCAGGTAGTATGGTGGTAGTGCTATTGCTTAATGGGCCTGATTTAGGCTTTGTTTGGGATCTCAAGGTTTCTTTAATTAAATAGCTCCACTAAGCCCTGTTAAGCCTCTAACAGCGGTACAGGAAGGTCGACCAGTCATATAACAAACATTCATATATACATTTCTGAATCTGGTCCAGGTAATAGAAGAGTACCAAATAATCATATGGTACTGTATGTGATACACACATCTATAAAGAGATACATACAAGTTTAGCTGTGGTTAAAATGTAAGGAAATATTCTTCAAACCAAATCACTGAGATATGAATATCACCTGTAATACACCAAATAAAGGATAATATTACCATGTTATGTTGTCAAGGGAATGTGCAATAGCGAGATTGTGCAATTCTCTGATTTTATTAAGTGAAAAAAGGTCGCTGTGTACATGGATACGGAGTTTGTGCAATTCTTAAAAACGTGCCGAGCAGTGGCTGATTTTTCACTTTCCACGCTTTTTGGATCTGCTCATAAAGAAATGTATTTAAACACCCACCATTTATTAACTAAATTTGTATAACTAATTATGACAAAAAATCTCATGACTGGATGATGGTGGTCAAGTCACTCGGGGGGTTAAATCTGGTACAGTGATATCTTGACATGGTAACATTAGGGCTTTGCTTATTGCTTAGATTAAACAGAAGAATGGTACTGGTAGAACATTTAAAGAAAATATAATAATAAATTTGTCTTGCAAACAGAAGATTTCAAAAGAACTCTAATAAAATGCAACAATACGACACATAAAATAAAATTATATAAAATTAAATCTGAAGAAGTGGTGGTGGTGTATTTAATTATGGCAAAGCACACTAGGGCTATCTGCCTAAGGAGAGAGATGTCTTCGTGGAGGACTTTCTAAGGGAAACTGGCTCGTATACACCTTACAAATGGGGAAAACCACGAAAACACCCATGCAGCCAGCCCGTTCGCGGGATTCGAACCTCGGATCGAACTACCAGTATTCAGCGACTTTACTGCTCGGCCGCTGGTGGGCCTAAATCTGAAGAAGAAATATGAAAATGGGTAAATAAAAAACAAAATTATGACTTTAAACAAATTGCACCAACAAAAGTGCAATTTATATGCTGATACATTACTTTTGTTAATAATTTTTGGTACATTTCTTTCGTTAAATACCTTACATAAATTACGGTACATTTCTTTTGCTAATTACCTTAAACAACACCCTAAATAAATTATTAACAATTTTGTGTTTAAAACAATAACAATTTGCTTTGGTTCGCATATTTTCACTGCAGGTCTTTTTAAAATGAATTTTTAACTTGTTGAGTACAATAAGAGAGTTCATAAAAATCTCTTGGTTCTGTCCATGTATTTGTTATTTAGCCCTTTTTAAAATTTTATCGATATATTTTTCTTCACCAACTTTTAATCAACAGTAATGACAAAGCATTAATTTCACAATTAAAAGATTTAACCAAAGATGAGGTCTCCTAGTTAATTTGATTATTTTTGTTATTATTATCATCAGCAGCACCGATTAATTTTTATAAATCCTACATTTTACACATAATGTTACAGGTACAGCTCTCTGTTATAAAATCCTATCAAATCAGGCATAGTTACCGATTGTACTTTATAAATGGCAATAATCCGAAACAGAACTTAAAAGATAACCTAAATTTCGAAGCAAATAAAATTCAAGAAAGAAACTACCACATTTTTGAAAAAAGGCATACCTTCTAAAAATAATAATCAGCATTTTGTTTTTCAAAACATATAGAAAAGATGATGCATTTAAATTCACAATTCAAAAGCATTATTTTGAGCATTGCGTGGCGTATAAAAGCATAATATATCATTTTTGGAAATTAAAAATGGGCTTTAAATATCTTACTTACATTATTTTAATGCAAAAGTTTCAATAATAGTTTCTCATTCCAGTTTTCATTAAACAATCATTAATAAAAAGAACAGGAAGTAAACTATTAACTTGTGCCGCTTCGAATTTCAATCCCGAAATTTTGTTGCCAGTTTCTTGACTAAAGTTGTAATTTATTCTAGGATGAATTGCCATTGATTTATTCATTGAAAAAAATTGAAGTTTTATTTTATAAAATATATATTTCATGATAACTTTAGGTTATTAAAGCAAATATGTAAGTTTTTTTGAACCACTGAAAGGAGTTTCTGTTTTAAATTTATGAATGATTTAGATATCTAGGTGGCAATGGTTTTTCAACAAACTTGATCAAAACAACAGCTGATTGCAAGATATATCTGTGAAGTTATTGTTTCATTTGAAAGTTATGGTGTTATTATGTCCGTTTCACTAATCGCGCTGCGTTTGGAAATTGCACAAGAATATCCTCTCCTACCCCACATACATTTTTCGGGTATGAAACCGTAAATAGTTGTAAAAATACTTAGTATGACTTCTATAACATACTTACATGTAACTTCTATGACATTAAAACCCATATGTATTTTGTGTTAATTTAGCTTTTCAGTTTATTTGCGTGCGAATTTAAGTATTGATATATCTGAATTGAGATATTTTCTTAAACACCTGTTTTAGTAATCTACTTTTATAGTTCAAGATGTAAATAATTACTTAATATTATACCTGCGAAAACCATAAGAATGTTATTAAGTGCTAGTTTGTGTGTTTGAGTATATTAAATTTAATTTTTCTTAGTATATATATAAAGTATAATATATGTGTATTTATGTGAGTATTAAGTATATATATATATGTGTGTGTGTGTATGTGCCTGTGCGCGCATATTAAATTTACAGAAAAAACATTTTAGCCGAAGCTGTTTAGATTTGTTGTATTGTGAAATTATATTGAAATCCTTATATTAGTAAATGAATAATCATTCAAAAGAATTAATGCATTTGTTTACAACAAGGATTCTCAACCAGGGAAACATCTGCTTAGGGAGAGTTTCATAGTTTCTAGGGGGAATGCAGTCGGCCTTTTATTTACCTGTTAAGTGCTTATTTTATAAATATAAAAAACTACTTCATTCAATTTTTGTTATTTATTAACGTTTTCTATACTTTTTGTTGTTTCATTTGTAAAACACTTTAAAAAAAATCTGAATTTGAACAGATGTTTAGATATATTTTTGAGTTTTGGAATGGAGTGGAATGATTGTTTAGCAATTGTTAAATGGTTGCAGGGAGCAAAAAAGGCTGAGAACAACTGGTCTAGAGTTTAGTCTATTGGTAATTAGAACATGTAAATAACAGCTAATTATTATGAACTGGCACAAAATTAAAAATATATAGTTGAAATTTTGTACTTGTCTGCGTGTATAATTTGTACTGAATTTGGAGCATCCTGGGCTCTAGTATAGAATTGGGTGCCACTTCGATTAGTGACAATTTTTCGTAAAATTTTGGCGATGAAATCTCATTTCTGGTTACCATGAAAATTTAACTTTGCTTTAGCCTCCTGATTTTTTAAAAAATAAAAATACATTGATGTGTACATAGACAAATTTAAAGCAGTGCACAATGCCTAGTTTGTGCAATTCTAGGATGTTTTTTAAGCGAAAACAGATCGATGTGTACATTAACATAGAGTTTATGTAATTCTTTGACTTCTTATTTTGGTTTTGCGTAGTGGCCATCTTGAAATTGTGTCTTCCTGGCGCCGATCTTGGCGTCAAAAAAGAATCGCCAAAAATCAAGGGGCACCCAATTGTAAACTTTTACCGCATTCTGTTTTCCCATATACCTAGAAAATTTGCAGAAATATCTCAAAACTCAGGCCTAATCATTCTAATGGAAGTTTTAAGTTTAAAATCTTTTTTTGTTTTGTACAAGATAAAAGTGTAGCATATAAAAACCAAAATCAGTATGAACTAAAACTTGCACTTATTATTCTGGAAGAAACAGATCACTCTTTATTTAGTTGGATAGTCAGCAGATAAACTGCCTCACTGAGACTTAATCAAGTTATATAAAACCAAAGTGAATTTCTTATGAGTTTTGCTATATCTGTTATTAACAGTCTATTACAATGATTGGTAACAAATTTTGCTCATTGAAGATGGTTAATGAAAATAAATGGTAATACTATAACATGCAATCTATTGCTTTTTGTTAGTTATTTATTTCTTAGATGGTGCCACTAAAATGGTATTGTTTAATATGAAAATAATTATAATTAGCAAATGATTAGCCTTTTCGTTGTTTGCCCGGAGGGAGACTCGGGGATTTAAAAAGTGTCTTCACCATTAGCAGCACCAGATGTTCATCAGCCATTGCTTGGACCATTAGCTCCAGGATAGATTCATTGCTTCATGTTTTTCAGCCTTCCAAAATATGTCAAAAATGAAAGAAGCTTAATCACACTGTTTTCACAACAGGTTTGTATCAGGAAGCGAAAGGTGAGGAATTACTTTCTCTCGGTAGATATTCTCCTGAAGACATACTTCATGATTCCCAAGTAATTCTTCCCATTCATTAACCCCTTAACTGCCGCGGGCGTATATATACGCCTTGCTCAGCCGATGCGTTAACTGCCCCAGATGCGCAGCCGATGCGTTAACTTTGCGAATAATTTTAGGTGTAGCAGCGCAAAGCAAATGATAGCAGTTTGGAAGGACGTATATATACGCCTGGGGCAGTTAACGCATCGGCTGAGCAAGGCGTATATATACGCCTGCGGCAGTTAAGGGGTTAATGGAAGTTTAAAGATTTTTATTTTGTCATCTCAACAGTATAGATGAAAATATTATTCAGTCTCAGTTTCGTTATAACTACTCTTGCACCAGTTATGAATGAATGACATTGCTCTGCTGAAATCTAATTACAAAATAAACTTAATTACATTTCATTTTTCAAAATAAACATGTTTACCTTTCATTTTTCAAAACTTGAATTGTTAATTAATAGTTTAATTTTAAATTGGCACTTTTCCATGTTTTTAGATCTTATTATTTGAGAAAGTAATATAATAAATAATATGGGAATTTAAAAAGAAATAATAGTAGTACAGTCAAAAGTCATTAATCTGGACTCGTCGGGACTTCGGTGATTCCGGATTATAGATCATCAGTTTAAATATGGTAAGATGGCATGCAGAAATTATAAAATTAAAAATATGAAACCGTAATTTATGAAATAAAGAACAATCATGATCTAAAGAGTATCAAAATTTACAAAAAAAAAAAAAAAAGCTTAATATTTATTTGTTTACTTTCTTCGCTATCGGAAGCGAATTATAATGATGAGGAATTTGATTTAAATCATATCAAAGATGGAGTACATCGAGATGAAATACTACATTTAGTAAGGAATTATAAGCCAAATAAAATAAAAACATCTGCCCTGAAGATAAGGATAGTGCTGACAGATCAACTTCCAGTTCATTGCGCGCCGCGGCGTCCTCCCGCAGCTAAGCAGCGTGAAATTGATAAACAGATTTCGAAATGGTTACATAAACAAATGATATGCCTTTATCCATTTTTTTGCAGCAATTCCACTTTTTGTTTAATGGACTTTGAAACATACTTTCGCTTTGTAGATCCTTTACATATTATATATATATATCGGAAATTCTATTTGACATAATCGAAAGTTCAAGCTTACTTATATAAAATTGCTCTAACAGTCTGCAAAAAATAATAAGCCAGATCCAATTTGAAGATTAAGGAACAATGCAATCTGCAACATTAACTGAATTAAATAATTTTAGCTTAGCTTATACCATCCATTATACATTAAATGTGCATGCGCACACGCATATTTGCAGCCGTACGGGTCTTAAGCGCACGCGTAAATGCCTATGCGCAGAAAGTTTGTAGCTTTGAGGTCTGGATTATAGATCATTAAGTATTATGGGTGTCCGAATTAACGACTTTTGACTGTATACATAAAAAAAAAAAAAAAAAGAAGAGATGGTAATATGCGCAGAAAGTTTGTAGCTCTGAGGTCCAGATTATGTGTCCGAATTAACGACTTTTGACTGTATGTGAAATTTGGATTACTTTATATATTTTTTTATTTCCTTCCCTAGTGAATAATTAGATTTTCAATTTAGAGCAACTATCAATCTTTATCTTGAGATTTTCCAGAGGTAGTGAGATTGCAAGGATCTCTGCATCAAAATTCAACATGAATTGTCTCACAGGAGTGCATTGGGAAAAAAGTGTACTGCATATACCAACTCCGGTGTTGTCTTGTATTTTAGAGCCATCAGATGTCGAGCAAGCTTTTACTATTATATATAAGGGGTGTTTTTCTTTCCCAGGTCATTAATATCTAGCTGATATTTGATATCAGTATATTCAAGGGAATTAACCATGACTTTGTTACAATTGGTTTGTTTTCAACTATTTCTTGTTATAATCTCTCACAAGCCTCTAGGGGAGACATTGGGACTTAATAGTACTTGGTTTGCATTCGCTCATCCATTGCACTCTATGCGATGCTTTCATTTTAAACGAATGTACCAACTGCTCGTATCTTGATTTTAGTAGCAATTAATGGGTTGGAAGTATAGCTTTGCATAGCTGTAAATCAGGGTAGTTTTCACCACTCCTGTGATGATCTGAAGAACTTTACTTTGGGCCCTTTCCAAAGAGTCAATCTTCCCTTGTGTAGTATAAATTAACACCTCACTTCCATATTTGAAAATAGGTTTTATTTAGGGTAGTCTGTGAGCTTCATCGTTTGGTACTGGCTAGTCTTATCAAAATTGAGGATCACTTCTTTACTTTTTCTACAACAGTATTCACATGATTAGTAAAGTTTAATTTGTTGGCTAGCACTACAGCTAGATATATGGTACTAGTGCTTTTTTGAAGAGTAGTGTTGTCTATTTTTAATTCAAAGTTTGTATTCACATGTCTCAGAAGAGAAGAACTGGCAAACTGTTTAGTTTTTATTTATAATCATATTGTTATCTTTGGACCAGGTCTGTAGGATTTCAAGTGCATTATTCATTGTAATTTCAAGTTTTTTCCCTTTGTTATTTGTATTTTATGGAATTATCTGTTTCTGTCCAAATAACAACATCATCTGCGAACATACAGATATTAATACCTTTAATGCTTTTTAACTTGGTTACCAAATCATTAATATAAATGTTAAAGAGGGTGCAGCTGCTAATTGCCCCTTGAGGTAGACCTAGTTTACTTTGCTTGTAATTTGATTTTTGCTCATTCCATCTAGTCTTTGCCCATCTTTGGGATAAAAACTTTTTGTACTAGTTATACATTTCCCTGATTCCATAAACGTTGTTTACACGCTATGATAAAATATTGTATGGTTGGCTCCCTGGAAGTCAACAAAGACAGCCAAGGCACTTCTCCCCGAATTGAAACCGGTTTTAATTTTGTGAACCAACTTCAAAATTTAATTAATAGTTGACATGTCTTTTCTGAAACCAGTCTGCTAGAAGAATCCGTTTGACTCAAGGTAAAACCTTAGCCTTTCAGTTATTCTTTCAAATGTCTTGACTGTAATGGAAGTCAGTGAGATTGATTGGTACAATTGTATATCTTCAGGTGGTTTTCCTGGCTTTAGAATCGGAATGACCTTTGCCTTCAGCCAGTTTGTTGGAAGATTGAGTTTTGCATTCCAGAACTTATTGTAAATCATTAAAAGGAAATTCTTGCAGATTGCCTGAATTCTGGGAATATATTATCTGGTTGCTTACAGTTTTGAATGTCTTTGATAACCTTATTCAATTTGTCCATTGAGAAATCTTCTGTAAAAAGTTTGTCTAAGTTCACTTTCCTTCATTTAGTACTTCTTTCATGTTTTCGGCATTTTTTTCCTACCTATTTTTCTCTTTATTGAGTATCCTTTACGATAGAAGTTATTGAATATTTTAGCAATCTGTCTTGTATTGCTGACATCTTTGTTTCCTTTTTTGATGAGTTATTAGTTCTTCGCATTATTTTGTTATTCAATGTATTCATTATTTTGTAAGCTTTATTTCCATCAGATCTGTAATCTAATTCATTAAGAAACCTATTCCAATATTGCCTTTTGGATTCTAAAACTTTCCTTTTCATTACAGCACATTCCTTTTACCTTTGATTACATCTTGTTTGCATTTTTTTATTAGTTTTTCCTGCCACTCTCTCAGCTTCGTTTTTTGCGTGCTCTCTGATTTCTCTTTGCTCTTCTAGATCAGTGTTCCAAAATGGTTGGTAGTTCAGACTCTTGCCTCCGAAGATGTTTTTTTTTTGGTGCACCTTTGGAGGACTAAGGTAAAAGCTGATTCTGCTTGTTGAGGTGAAGCATAATTAGGGAGAGTAGTGTTTACTTGATGTTCCATATCTTCTGTTAAGGCCTTCCAATTGGTCTTTTTGAAGTTCCACATAATTCTTGTGTTATTTCTTATCTGTTTTTGGTTGGTAGTAATTGCTGTTTTTACTATTTGGTGATCACTTCCTAGGTCCCCAATTACCATTTTCTTGCAATAGTCAATTAGGTTACCTGAAACTGTGTTTAAATTAGGATTAGTAAAACTGCCTGAATAGTGGATAAAAGTGTTAAGGTAATCTTTATTATGTATAACTAAGATTGCATTACTATCTACAAAGTCCTCAACAATTTGCCCTACTTGGTTTTGGTAGGTGTATCCCCAGTTAGGGGAAGCAGCATTAAAATCACCTAAAATTGTAGTATTTCGATGAGGTATTAAAGTGTCTAAATTTAAGTTTTTGTCGTTTGGTAGACTTTATATTCCAAAAATGTTAAAAAGAGTATTCTCATTCCAAACATTTACTCCCACAATTTCCCCAGATAATTCTTTTTCATTGTTTTCAACATCTCAAACAATAATGTCAGTTTATTTCACACTGTCACTAAAATACCATTTGCAATCTGTCTGCTTTTGAAAAGTCTATGAAAAATGAAATTTTCCATATTATAATACTTATTTTGTCTTCTGTAATATTTGCTTCTTGAATCACCAAAACATCGACATTCTTCTCAACGACTACCCTGTTAATTTTTGGAAAAGTGCAAGATAATCCTCCAGCATTCCACTGCAGGATAGGAAAACAAAAGCTCTTTACTCTGTTTGCTTTGCTCTGAACCTCCTTAGCCATAGCTGCTACTAATTTAGAACTACCTAGGAGGCACATGCTAATTAAGGATATCGCGGACATGAGTAACATTGCCTCCTAGGGGCAGAAACTTAATCATAGTGCTTAGCTGCAAACACAATTGAAAGAAAAAATGGTATGTCATGTTGAAAAAGGGCCATTAAGGAGCTTGTACACAATATATATTGCATTAAAGTTGGACTGAATAAATGACACAAGATATTTTGATGAACTGGATGATGTTCTTAAAAAACTATAAATTTTACAATAATTTTCCAAAAAGACTAAGGCTACTAAGCCAAATTCCTTAGCTGTTACAGTTAAAACATTTGAAGTTCAAATATTTACATCAAATGCAATGTGTATGAAGTAAAGTTAGTGCCCTTCTTGCTCTGTTAAATAATTATGATGTAGTGATTGTTCATTTTGAAGAAGTGTCAAATTAAAAGAGAAAGTATGCTGCTGTAGCAAGAGGATTGTTGAAACAGATGAAAAACTTTCAGTTTGTCTTAACTGTGCATTTCTTGCTAAATTTTCCACATTTAAGTAACTTTCTGTGATTTTTCAAACAGAAATCGTGATTTTAAGTAGTGTAGAGGTTTATATTAATAGGGCAGTCTCGGAAACGAAAGACTTAAAATCTAAACTAGGCACATATAAACAGCTGTTTGTCAGTTTAACTATTATTGAGAACTTTAGGAACATTCAGCTTACAGACGTTGATTGTCAAATTTTTTATTTGCAGAAAATAAGTTTACTTGTAATAAAGTACCTTAAGAAGCATTTTCTAGGCTGGGATGTAGGTGGTATAAAGTGCTGTATTCTATGACTCTTTCATGTGCCCTCGTGACAGCTTGGGAAGTTATGGAAAGGATGAAATAGTCACTTTGAACAATCACTTCAAAGGTTAGCTGTCAAACAAAGCCTTCTAAAGAGAAAAACTTAAAATCTTTACAGAATGAATGGTACTTTCTGATTATCTGCATCCCCACTGAAAAGACACACACACACACACACACACACAAAAAAAAAAAAAAAAAAAAAAAAAAAAAAAATATTCATGAAGTAGCACATTATGTCACCAAAAAAGTATTTGTGGCAACCCAAGATGTCACCAAAACATATTTCTATGGTAACCCAGATATGCGTATAGCATCCCTTCCTCCTAGAAGGATTTCCACTTTCACATTTTCACCTGTGTAATGCAGATTATATCCTTTCTATAGAAGTTTCAGCCTGGACCACATATTGTAGTTTTCATTGTTATTTAGTGAAATTTTAGACTCTTGGTTTTCTGCACATATGTAGCATAATGTGGCTTGCTTAAAGGTATTATGGTTCATTTGTCTTTCTCATTTTAGAATTTTGGTTCAAAGATTGTGGGCAATGCCATATTTTTATGCATTTTTGAGTTTTGCTATTCTGTTTTTTTTTTTTTTTTTTTTTTTTTTTTTTAAATGAAACAGAGAAGGGAGTGGGTGCGAGAGTGTCTTCTCCCCCCCCCCAAAAAAAATAGCAGGATTTCTCGAAGAGGTTAGAGTTTTGTTAACCATGTTACTTGCTTTTTTAATTTTACAAATTTATTGCTCTTTTTTGAGAAATTGTTGTACTACTATTGAGAAATTGTTGTACTTGTTGCACTACTATTTGGAAAATAGTTCTACTCTTTTCTGCATTATCTTGTGAAAAAGTAATCAGCAATGAACTGGTAAATCCTCTTCAATGTTAGTAATGAATTTATGATTACTTGGTGGGATGGAGATAATCAGAAAGTACTGAGAAATATTTTAATGAGAAAATTCTGCATGTAAAAAATTAAGAAACATTGATTAATAATATCTTTAACCTCTCTGAGCTTTTTTTATAGCATTCTACTTTTGTTTTCATTAAATTCCTCATTTGAATTTTCAGAATATGTAATACATTTTTTTAAATATATATTTTTCTATAATAAAAGCTTCAAGACAGAAAAGACCGATGGCATTACCTGAATCTAATGTGACCAAAGCAGAAGGATACAAAGAAGATGAAGTACCGGTAGAACAAACACGTTCTGCCCTTTCAATTGATAAATGTCGTGGGTCTCGAAAACTGCAAGAAATGATTGTTGAAACAGTATGCAATACTGGTATAGTAATATATGTGTTTTCATAATCTTTATAATTTTTTATATGTTCTTAATTTAGAGTTTTGTTATTTTTGTTCACTAAGCATATAATATTTAGTTGTGTTTTAATTTAATCCTGGAAGTATTGGGGCCATTTATTACCGTTTTGTGCCAGTATTTGCATGCTTACTTGTGTAGTGTGAAATATTTTCAACATTTTGTTTTGTAGTGTCATGAAAAATCATTAGATGATAATTTGAATTCTTCTGTCTGTTCAGTTAGAGAAAAATATTAAAATTTCGCTGGCTGCCAGACAGAGAAACATCTTGCTGTCAGAGAGAGAAAAATACTGTATATTATTTGCCACACCATCTGATCAGAGCATTGGAAACAGCCATAGCATGATGGTGCATCTGAAATCAGATAAAATAGAAGTAAAACCTTTCTTAAATTTAAAAAAAAAGGGGGGGAGAGTTCTTTTGTATTCTTTATATTCATCATTAATTTTTTCTCTTGAAATTATTTATAATTGTGTTTTTCTGATTGTTCTGTAATCAATTTAATATTTTTAAGAACAGATAAGATCATACTGGAAATCAAATACAATTGTTCTCTTAACTGTCATAAATATTTTTTGGGTAGCACCAAAATCTCATCACCAATCAACGATACTAACATTTCCAAGAATGAGAAAATATGTAAAAACTTGATTTTTTTGATTATTTTGTAAAAATTTATTAGAGTAAAAAGCACCCAAAGTTAGGAACTGAATTAAATAAATTTATTGTTACCATAGTTATTAACAAGTGAAGTATAGCCAAAGCTGGTTAATATGGTGTATTCGGTACTTCAGTAATGTCATATTATCAAATCTGCTAAATTATTAGACTTATAATGTACAATGCTGCATGCAAAAGGATTTTTTTCATATTACAGTCAAAAGTCGTTAATCCGGACTCGTCGGGACGGGCGATTCCGGATTATCGATTTTTCAGGATTATAGATCATCAGTTTAAATCTGGTAAGACAGCATGCAGAAATTATAACATTAAAAATATGAAACCGTAATTTATGAAATAAAGAACAATTATGATCTAAAGGGTATCAAAATTGACATAAAAAAGCTTAATATTTATTTCTTTACTTTACTTTCTTCGCTATCGGAAGCGAATTATAATGACGAGGAATTTGATTTAAATCATATCAAAGACGGAGTACATCGAGATGAAATACTACATTTAGTAAGGAATTAAAAGCCAAAATAAAATAAAACATCTGTCCTAAAGATAAGGATAGTGCTGACAGATCAACTTCCAATTCATTGCGCGCCGCGGCGTCCCCCTGCAGCTAAGCAGCATGAAATTGATAAACAGATTTCGGAATGGTTACATAAACAAATGATATGCCTTTATCCATTTTCTGCAGCAATTCCACTTTTTGTTTAATGGACTTTGAAACATACTTTCGCTTTGTAGATCGTTTACATATTAGTAAATATATATCGGAAATTCTATTTGACAAAATCGAAAGTTTAAGCTTACTTTTATAAAATTGCTTTAACAGTCTGCAAAAAATAATAAGCCAGATCCAATTTGAAGATTAAGGAACAACGCAATCTGCAACATTAACTGAATTAGATAATTTTAGCTTAGCTTATACCGTCCGTTATACATTAAACGTGCATGCGTAAACGTATTTTGGGCATGCGTACACGCATATTTGCAGCCGTAAAGGTCTACGCTACGCATGCGCAGAAAATTTGTAGCTTTGAGGTCCGGATTATGGGTGTCCGAATTAACGACTTTTGACTGTATTAAATGTATTAATCTTCACACACTTTTGTTTTTTACTTTGTTAATTGAAATAATAAATGGAATGTTGGAGTGTAGCCTATAACCTGTAGAAACATGGGGCTGTCATTTCTCTACCACTTAATACAGTCAAAAGTCTTTAAACTGGACGTCCATAATCCGGAATGATCTATAATCCGGACCTCAAAGCTACAAACTTTCTGCGCATGCATAAACGCATAAAGCATGTGCATAATACCTTAATGCAAGCGCATATGTGTTAATGCATTAAGGTATTATGCATTTATGCATACACATAATGTATAACGAACGCTATGAGCTCGGCTACAATTATCTATTTAAGTTAATGTTGCAGATTGCGTTGTTTCTTAATCTTCTAATTGGATCCGGCTTATTACTTTTTACAGACTGTTAGAGCAATTTTATAAAAAGTAAGCTTGAACTTTCGATTATGTCAAAAAGAGTTTCCGATTCTGGAGCTGCCAAAGCATCTACAAAGTGAAAACATGTTTCGATGTACCTCCTCCGATAGTGAAGAAAGTGACAGAGAGGTTATTGAAAACAAAAAAAAAAATTCGATTGACAAATTAGTCGGTATTCTCGACACAGCAATTACAGGACTTGAACAGCAGAACTTTGTAACTGAACAAGAAATTATGTCTGTTTATAGAATTAAAGAGAAAGTATTAGCACATAAAACAAAGCAACTTAAACAACTTACATTGAAAGAAATGTTTAATAAAGTAAACAAATAAATATTGAGCTCTTTTTTGTAAATTTTGATACTTTTTAGATCATAACTGCTCTTTATTTCATAAATTACGGTTTCATAATTTTAATTTTATAATTTCTGCATGCCATCTGACCAGATTTAAACTGATGATCTATAATCTGGAAAAACCGATAATCCGGAATTGCCAAAGTCCCGACGAGTCCGGATTAAAGACTTTTGACTGTAGTTAGATATCATCTAGGTATATGTGTGTGCATATATAATGTACTTCGCTGTGTATGTACTGTAAAAGCTGCTCAAGGAGTGAGTATTTTAACCCCTTCGAGCCGGGTAGCGAAAACGTGCGCTTATCGCGGAAGCCGGCAGTGTCTTCTGCGAGCGTCTCTCCAGGGCCGGGGGCTTTTTTGCTACTAAGCCTAAATCCATGAAATCTCCGAAGTATCAACGCATTGTTTAATAATGCTCTATAGAGTATTTAAACGGCTTATGCTTTATAGATATTTATATATATATATACTTTAATAACCTTATTTCTTGTTTAAATGCATATTTTACACATTTTATTTTAATTACTCACCATTTTATGACTTTTAACATTATACATCTGAAAACTAAATATATTACTAAAAATTCTCTTTTCGTATGAAAAAATTTGAAAACAGGGATCTACACACAGTCCTACGTTACATTCCTTGAACTCGTAATAACTCATTTGCCGTTTTGGAGGATTTTTCCGGGAATGTGACAAACGAAGCATCGTCGTCTCATTTTCTTATCAGTCTCTTCTGAACAAGTTTTGGAAAATGTCTTTCAGTTAATCTTTCAGAATCAATATCAGAATATCAGAATTTCAGAATCAATATCTGAAATATTTTGCATCATTTCTGCTATTTCATGCTCTGTTAAACATTTTCGACGCTTCGACATTGAAACGGTGAAAACAGAAAGAATTCACGTCTAACAAGATCTAATTATTTTCAAAAAACTGAACGATAAATCGAAATACTCAACTCTTTAGCGCATATAAAACTTCCACTTACAATAAACAACTACCACGTGCAAATAAAGTGCGATTTAAAGAGACGTCATAAATCACGCCATTCGGAAACATTTAGTTCCCTGTTTGTTTATATAATCAAAAACACGTGTATGCGAGTCATGCTTCTCTCATTTCGAGTAGAAGGTCTAATGTACATGTATCTGAAACCATATGGACATACAGTGCCATCTTGTGGCAGAAATTATAGTTTGAAAAACGTTCCAAGGTACTGGCACAAATACGTGACATTTGGTAGTAAACGCAACAATGCTCTGGCACGCCTGCGTGTCGGCCAGTAGATAAGTGTGTTCGTTGCTGGCACGTATACGTGACAGTCGGCGCGAAGGGGTTAAAGCAGCATCATTGTATTTTTACTGATGTACTTAAATTCGGCGTTAGTTATGTAGGAAATTCATTCAAAACATATTAAATCTCCGAGCGGGTAAAATTTAATACAGTACAAAGTCTTTAATCTGGACATCCATAATCCGGAATGAACTATAATCCGGACCTCAAAGCTACAAACTTTCTGCATATGCGCAAACGCATAATGCATTTACGCATGCGCATATGCGTTTACGCATGCCCATAATATGTTTACGCATGCGCATTTAATGTATAACGACGGTATAAGCTAGGCTAAAATTATCTAATTATCTATTTCAGTTAATGTCGCAGATTGCATTGTTCCTAAATCTTCTAATTGGATCTGGCTTACTATTTTTTGCAGACTGTAAGAGCAGTTTTATGAAAAGTAAGCTTGAACTTTCGCTTATGTCAAAAAGAGTTTCCTATTCTGGAGCTGTCAAAGGATCTACAAAGCGAAAGCATGTTGCGATGTCCATCAAACAAAAAGTGAAATGGCTGCAAAAAGTGGATAAAGGCCTGAAGAAAGTGACGCAGAGGTTTGTGAAAACGAAAAAATTTCAATTGACAAATTAGTCGGTATTCTCGGTGCTGCAATTACAGGACTTGAACAGCGGAACTTTGTAACCGAACAAGAAATTATGTCTGTTTATAGAATTAAAGAGAAAGTATTAGCACACAAAACGAAGCAACTTAAACAACTTACATTGAAAGAAAAGTTTAATAAAGTAAACAAATAAATATTAAGCTTTTTTTTTTTTTTTGTAAATTTTGATAACCTTTAGATCATAATTGCTCTTTATTTCATAAATTACGGTTTCATAGTTTTAATTTTATTAATTTCTGCATGCCATCTTACCAGATTTAATTGGATATCTGGAAAAAATCCTAATCTGGAATCGCCGAAGTCTCGACGAGTCCGGATTAAAGACTTTGTACTTTATTATTTTTATTATTGTATATTAATTTTATAGACAAATTCTGTACAAAAGAAAATGTTTTGAATTAAATATTTGAGGAAGAACTTGCTTTTACTAAAATAGGTTAATTTTAATATTACAAATACTGGCAGAAGTGCTACTATTTGACACAACCGAGACTAGATGCTTTTTACTTCCTTGTACAAAGTAAAAGAAATATTGTAATTGCGAAAATTTTCGTGTATGATATTTTAATGAAAATATCCATTTTGACCACTATTAAATGCAATTTAATGATGTGTTTGCCTGATATCGGTACGTAATCAAGGCAAAATAAGGGACTTTTTTTTCCAAAATGGGTTGCAAAAAGTATTTAAAATAGATTCAAAAGAGTTTTTTCATCACGTCTGTACGTACGTATATATGTATCTCACATAACTCAAAAGTGAGTGATCTCAGAACATTGAAATTTTGTTTATAGGAGTGCTATAAACATGTAGTTGTGCACCTCCCTTTTTGGTTGCCAGTCGTCCCCACCAAAAGTGTATATATATATACACACCTACTCTTGTTACTCGCTCTGTTAGCTCAGTTTTTTTAATTCTTATATGTTGGTAAATTGTGCATTTTTCGCTTTAAAAATGGTATTATTGGTATTATTCAATTATTGCACATGAGGGCTATCTGCCTAAAGGAAGGGATGCCTTCGTGGAGAACTTTCTAAGGGAAACTGGCTCGTAGCTTTAAAAATGATTGAATTATTAAATTCAGTTATAGTTCTTATCTTCTGGTTAAGGATTTTATGCTTTTAGTTAATCTGTATGCAGTAGTTATAGAATTATCAACAATTTAAAAGCTGTTTAAGTGCAGCCAAGCTGAATTTTTCTACCACAGGAACCATGTTTGAAACTTAGCAGAATAGTGAATTAAGTCAGTTTCTGCACCTTCAGTGTCTTTTTGCCAAATGGGGCCAAAAGTAAAACTTTCATTTTTGTGCACCAAAAAAAAAAAACCTGCCTTCTTTCCCACAGGCTGAATTGCTTATTTTTGCGTAGAAACTTTAATTGTAAAAATTGTTTTAACTGTGTTTGGTGTTTTATATTTTTCTATATTTTAAAATTTTTAATGAAGATATTTTGAGTATTCTGTATATTTTTGCCTTGTCCCGAAGTGAGAACTGAATTAATTGAATGAGAAATACTTCTGTAATAAAATTTGAGGAAATAAGTTTAAATGACACATAGCAAAAAATGCGTATACCGTATTTGACGGCATTATAAGACGCACTTTTTTCCTAAATTTGGTTTCAAAAACGTTACCTGCGTCTTATACGTGAAGGTAATAGCATTCAATAATTGTTTATTTGGCTTTTACGAAACGTGAGAACTAAAAGAAACCACGCTATTGAAATTTTTTTCCCTTGTGTGTGTGGCCGTCTAAATAAGGGTGCATCTTATATGCCGTCAAATACCTGTTTAAAAAAACCTTACTGCAATAAAATAAATCCATTAATTCATATTTAAAGCAATTTGCTCCTACACTGGGCTTAAAATGTGAACTTCCAACCAAGAGGATGGCTACGAAAAGAATGATGGAAATCAGACAGGCAGCTGTTACAGCATAAAAAAGGAAAGAGGTATCAAGAATGCAATGCTTTTTACCTGGTGCTCTTATTTTTCACCTGCCTCACTTGCCTTACCCTTGTCCCTGCTCTAGTAACTATGCAGCACTCAAGAAAGAAACTGAAGTCGTGAATTCATGAAGTTAATCATTAAATTCATTCTTTATTAGCAAAATTTTCAATGACAAAGTAGAACAGCATCTGTATGTTAGTATGTTATGCAAAGTAAATACTTATTTTGGTAAATATTAATTTAACTGCCGTAAAAAGTTAATACATATTTTTATGAAGAATAATTTTATGGCAAAACAGAAACAAAAAAGATCATTTGTAACTTTTTTGTCCTTATTTTTATTGCCTCAAATAAAGCTGATATATGTAAACAAATGATGCTGTTTTTCTGTTTAATAAGGTACCACTTAGCATCAAACATTGTGAAATCTAACTAAATGCTAATGATACATAGAGCTTTATGAAAAGAATTATTATTTTATTAAATTCAGAAAAAATACAAAAAATGAAGGCAAATACAAAAGGGGTTTTACCAGATTAATTTCAGATTTGAAAATCTAAGGAAGCAAATTCCTGGACTGATCTTCATTCATCCTGCTTATTCATAAAGATGTCATTGCACAACTATTCATAATGTCATATAAACAGGCTACTACACATAGTGACTGCCATTTTGTTAGCAGAAAATTACTCAAATTATATGATTTGCATAAAAATATTAGATTATTTAATTCTGGTCCAAAATACTAAAGTAAATACTTTATATTTAATGTATATATTAGGAGAAAATTATGATATATTAAAAGCTTGTACCAACAAATTGCTAACAATTAACTAATGAAATTGCTGATAAATTTCTTGCTTTCTAGTTCCCAGAGAAAAGGTTATCTTCAAATGCAAAATGTACATGGCAGTAAACTTACTGGTGTAATTATGCTTCTCATATATCCAATAATTGTATGAACTCTGGTTTTGACTATCTTCTAGTACATGGTGAAATATGATTGTTAAAATTTTGCATTTACACTTTCAGAATAGAGAAAATGAAATATTTTTATGATGTGTCAGAAAGAATATTAAAACTGGAAGCCTAAAAAACTGTACTTTGTGTGGGACTATAAGAATGTCCTCCGGATTTAAAAGTATTTTTAATGATGTATTTGATATATGATTTTTTAAAATTTACAGCCAAGTGTCAACATTTCAACAATTTATTTTTCAATTGAATTGCTAGAAATTTTAATGTGTGAACTTTTCTGACATCTAAAAATCTTAAAACTGATATTAACTAAATGAATACAGTGTACATATAAATGTAAAAAAAAAAAAAACGGGTATTGACAAAACCCAAAGGATTAATATCAGGTTTTTAAAGAGGCAAATTAAGTTATTAAGCCTATAATATTTTTTCTTTAAGTAACTGCTACAGTTCTTTCGCGAATGAAAGAATTTGAAAGGGTCCTAGTGTAAAAAATCCTTTTGTAGGTCAAAATAAAGGAGAATATTCTCTTTATTTTCACTCGTTGGAACATTGAATATTATTATGAATATTATATTACTTGACACTGGAAATTTTTTGAAGTTTTATTGATGAAAATTATTTCATCTATCAAAATATGAAAGAATGGTGACAAAATAATGCATCCAATTTTATCTCCAGTGGGGGAATTTATCTCCAGCGTGTAAGACTGTGTATCAAAAACTCTAAAGATATGCTGTTTTTAAATATTTTGTGATATTGCTGTTCTATTGAATTTTATATTTTTAAGTGCGAAGAACATGATATTTAATCAATACAGGTAACACACAAAACATTAAAAAACACGCTTTTGGATGTAATATAAAATTTGAAAGCTTTCAGATTTTTTTTATTTGTTCTTTATTTTCTCATTAATGTATGATTACTGTAAATATATATATTTAAGTTATAATATTGTGCTAAAGAAGAAAGTCTTATCGAAGAAATTTCCTACAAGTACAGTCAAAAGTCGTTAATTCGGACACCCATGATCCGGAATGATCTATAATCCGGACCTCAAAGCTACAAACTTTCTGCGCATGTGTCGCATTGACGCATGCGCGTAAGGCCTTTACGGCTGCGAATAGGCGTGTGTGCGTGCGCAAAATACGTTTACGAATGTGCGTTTAATGTATAACGGACGGTATAAGCTAAGCTAAAATTATCTAATTCAGTTAATGTTGCAGATTGCACTGTTCTAATTGGATCTTCTAATTGGATCCGGCTTATTATTTTTTGCAGACTGTTAGAGCAATTTTATAAAAGTAAGCTTGAACTTTCGATTATGTCAAAAAGAATTTCCAATTCTGGAGCTATCAAAGGATCTACAAAGCGAAAGCATGTTCCAGTGTCCATCAAACAAAAAGTGGAATTGCTCCAAAAAATGGATAAAGGCATATCCTTTGTTTATCTAAACTTTGTTTATCTTTAAAGCGGCGGCGCGCAATGAATTGGAAGTCAATCTGTCAGCACTATCCTTATCTTCAGGGCAGATGTTTTTATTTTATTTGGCTTATAATTCCTTACTAAATGTATTATTTCATCTCGATGTAGTCTGTCTTTGATATGATTTAAATCAAATTCCTCGTCATTATAATTCGCTTCCGATAGCGAAGAAAGTGACAGAGGTTATTGAAAATGAAAAAATTTTGATTGACAAATTAGTCGGTATTCTGGACACAACAATTATAGGACTTGAACAGCGGAACTTTGTAACTGAACAAGAAATTATGTCTGTTTATAGAATTAAAGAGAATGTATTATCACATAAAGTATGAAAAAACTTACATTGAAAGAAATGTTTAAGAAAGTAAACAAATAAATATTAAGCTTTTTCTTTTGTAAATTTTGATACCCTTTAGATCATAATTGTTCTTTATTTCATAAATTACAGTTTCATATTTTTAATTTTATAATTTCTGCATGCCATCTTACCAGATTTAAACTGATGATCTATAATCCGGAATTGCCAAAGTCCTGACGAGTCTGGATTAACGACTTTTGACTGTATTGTATTTTCATTTGTGCATGGTTCCTATTGTATGTACATTTGTTAAAGTTCTGGAAGTACCTAATGATAATATATTTTGAACTACTTATCATTAAAAAATAATAACAATAAATTTTGTGTTGTATTAAATCGGGGTAATAGTAGTATAGTAAAATCAGATTCATCAAGACTAGATGGTGCAAAACTATTTTATTTACTAATAAAATTAACTTTTTAATAGAAATTGAACTTCATGAATTTGAATTTTTTCATTAGGTGCAGAGGTGGACATATCTAGTAATGATAGTTCCATTGTGAAAGTGGAAGGTGCAGTTCAGCCAGAGAATACAGTAATACTAAATGAAACTTCAAAACTTGCTCAAGTTAATAAATCTGTACCTGGTCACAAAACAACGAAGAATAAAGGAAGTGAGAAAAAGGTTCATCAAAATGCATCAAAAAAGTCTGCCATAAAAAATGATTCTGTACAAAAAGAAAGGCAAAAAATTAAAAGTAGTGATGATAATGTAAATAGTGTAGATAAAACTGTTCCTATAAAAGATAATAAAACTGTGAATCCTGTTGAAGAAACTGTTAAGGTTGCTGTGGAAGATGTTGTTGAGGAGGAGCAGTGTCATGAAGATCCTGCAGATGTAACCGATCCTGACAAACGAAACAGAATTGTACATTCTCCTCCAATTTCTTTTTCTTCTGGTAACCATTTTGTTGAAGTTACAAAGGGATTGCTTCATTTATACAAAGAGAAGTAAGTTTATGTATGTTTAATTTCTGCCTAAATTTAATGTTTTATTATTTGTTGATCTACTGTTTAGTTTTTGATGGCAAAATGTATTTATGCTAGATATGTAATCTTCAAAGTTGGAATCTTGTTTAATGAGAAATAATTTTGTCACTATTGAGGCCTCTTGTTATAACAAGTGTGGAAGTTGATTTGTTTGATAAGAGGGCTTAAATAGTAGCTTTTGTAATTTAGTAAAATGGCTAAAGATTCCAGATTGTTTATGGATTAAAAAAAAAAAAACTTTTGCAAAAGCTTTCCAAGATTTGAAGAAGAGTATTTCTAAGAAACATTTTGTGAACCAGAATTGTATATAGCAATGACAGTTATTACATATCATCAAAGCTGTAAAAATGCATTCAGCAATTCAGCAGTATTTATTTCACAATCTTTAAAGAGGGACATATACATATTTTTTTAAATATGTTGAAGTATACAAATAATCTTGAAGAAAAGAAGAAAAGGGTGAAATTATTAAGGAAATATTTCTTTTTCATAGAAATTTTGAAGCAAATATAGATGGTTAATTTAAATGGAAAATTTTTTCGTACCTACAAAATATTAACATTTATACTTCTATATTTGTCTGCCTCGAGTTGAAAGTTAATGTTTATCTTCTGTTATGGTGTATTTAACTATGCAGAAGCTATTGAGGTCTGTTTACCTAAGGGGGGGATGCCTTCATAGAGGACATTTTAAAGGAAACTGATTCGTATACATGGCAAAAACCATGAAAATGCCCTATGCAGCTAGCCTATTCACTGGAATTTGAACTCTAGTCTCATTACCAGTGTTGCAACTTCATCTCTCGGCCACTGGTGAGCTCATCTTTTGTTATGAGTGATGTGAAAGACTTGAAATATATATTATGTTCATTTATTTTTCTTTCTGTTGTATATAATTCTCTCTAGGTACTTGAAAAACCATGATAGGTTATTTGAATACAGTAAAGTATGCATGGGCTGTCTACCTAAGGAGAGGGATCCCTTTATGGAGAATTTTCTCAGAGAAACTGACTGGTATTTACATTACATAAGCGAGAAAAACCCACTAATACAAAGAGTGTACTTAACATTTTCATAGAATTGAACCCAGGCTGAACTCCCAATATTCAACGATGTTAGCTCTTTGTTCAGGGAAGTACTAAGTTTTTGGATTTAGATATGCCACTATTGTGTGACTTTGCACATGCCATGGAGAAAATATACCATAATCTTAAGCAAAGAGATTAATGTTTACTGAATGTTGCAATTATGCTGTAGTTCTTGTTTGAACTTTATTAATGTTCACTGAATGTTGAAATTATGCTCTAGTTCTTGCTTGAACTTTAGTTTAAATTAAATTTGGTAGTATGAAATAGCTTCTGCATTAGCGTGTTTTAGCAGTGCTTGTTTTTAACTTGGTTCCTAAAAAAAGAATGTACTTCAATACTTATGTATTATTGCTACTACCTTAGTAGAAGTCGCTAAATTTTCAGAATGTGCCAAACTATGGGAACCATGCAAATAACCCTAATAAACCAGGTAACCATGTTCATAACACCCCCTCCGTCAAGCAAGGTGGCTGTTTTGTATGCTTGCATTCTTTTGTGTTTTAGGTTCCAATAATTTTTATAAATGAATCATAATATTTTTCCTGTAAACGTAGTTTTAAAATTTGTGCTTGTGGGATTTTCCAGCAATGGAAGAAACCGCATAAATACCAGCTTCTGTTGAAATATGGAATTTGCCACAAAATCTCTTAAGGGAGCAAGATGAGATGCATTTGTTAGATAGTTGGTGTTGCTAAGATTTGTGTGATTTTGAGTCTGCTATTCTCTCTCTCTTTTTTTTTTATATTTTTTTTTTTAATGAAAACAGATTGCTGTGTACTTGGGGAGAATAGTGCAAAAAAATTACAGAAGGATTTGGAGATAAATGTGTTTTATTTTTTAATGCATTTTCATAATTCCTATTTAATTAAAATTTGTATTTTAAATTTTAAAGTAAGTTTTCTGTTCATATGTTCATAATGTTTGCCAGTTTACGATAAATATCGATAATTTAAGAATATTTTTTTGGAAAAAAAAAAGTCGCAAAAAATACCAGCTTGCACCTTGAACTTTTACCTTTTCATCTGTAAAAAGTCAGTAATTGTGCCAAGGTGGTTATGTTAATATATAAATGCTGGCACTTCTATTGAAGTCTGAATATACAATCTGATTCCTTAAATATAATATACAGTCTTTTTCCTTAAAACTGGCATTTAAACATCAGCCATTTAAAATGTCATGGAAATTGAGATTATACTTTTATGATTCCAGCAGACACTCAGCTGGAACTTTTCTTTTAGATAACAGGATTTGGAATGAGTAGGGCTGATTTGCTTTCATTTAACCTACTGAAGGATATATATTACTTCTCCCATTTTTCATTCCCATTAATTGTTTATTTGTTAAATCAAATAAAGGATTTATAAGCATTTCTTGAAGGCTGAGCTAAGTCAAGTTTCAAGGTATATTGGAGAATTGTCTATGAGGGAAGTGTTATCTGTGATTTTTAAAGCAAGGATTATATTGTAATAGAGGAAAGGAACTGCTAAAAATTGCAGGTATAGTTACACGCGTTCAGCTCATTCTGGATTCTGGAAGATATCAGCTTTTCCCACAAGTGCTATGCAAAATAATATGTTTAGGCATATCACGTCGTTAGCTCACATGTCCACGGATTGAGAATAAAAAAAATTAAGATATTACTTAGCCCATTTGAATAATAATAATTTCATCAAAGACAGCACGTGAACAAAACACACACTTTATTTCCACTGCCGGTCGAGCACATGGTTATCAGTACATGTTTTTTTTTAACTGCAATTCAACTGTAACATCAGGTTACAGTTGAATTGCAGTTAAAAAAAACACAAGAGAAAAATTAGGAACTTAGACAATCAAATAAACAATAACAAAAATTACAAAAAACACTTTAAAAAATCAGTTTGCAATATCTACGATCAACCAGTATTTTTCCTTTCTAATTAATCATTATTTTATAATTTATTATTATTATTTCCCACAATTTCATGCTAGCGGGCAAGCCATATTCAAAATTGTGAACAGACTGCTTCCTGCATAGTGCAGCCATCTGGTGGTGAGATAGTAAAGTGAATGTTGTTCTAACATCACTCCCTCACCAGTAACTAAGTTACGATACTTCATAAGGCATAGAATATAAACAATTACAGTCATATAGCAAATGATAAATACACATCACTATTTTATCTATCATATGGTAATTATCTAATATATAATGTGATGAAAACTATTATTTTGATATAATATAGAAACAGATAAATATAGAATTTATCAATTATTTAAAAAAAAAACATTGCTCAATTTTCATTTGTAATACATAGAACATATGCCGATAACTTATTAAACCATAAATTATGAAGGGAAACTAAAGTCTTGCCCTTTTTCACACAATAAGTAATTAAGAGAAACTGAAAAAAAAAAAAAAATGCATTAACTAGAACAACATTTGACATCTTGTTTGCTACCAGTAAAAGAACTGTCAAGTGTATTCTAAAGTCAATATTATATGGTTTAACTTTTCCATACATGACAAATCACTAAAATTAATAAAAATTATCAGAGTAACTTTGTTTCTAAAAATCTCCTAGTAAAGAATTCAATATCAATGACATACAATAGAAAATACTTTAACCATTGAGATGTTTACATATTACTAGTATAAAATGCAATATCAATAAGGTACAGTAATAAAAATACTTTTAAGCTTTGAGAACATGTTTACCTATTCATGAAAATAATTTTCAAGGCATTATTCTAGATTTAAAAAATAAAGTGATTACTTTTTCAATGATATATATACATATCTTAATCTTGGAACCGTACAGGTAGCTTTATTTTTCTACCACAGCGACTAGTCATTGTTTGTTTATTATCATTAGTTATGACCTGAGGGATTTGTGACTTTGAGCTTTCAGTATTTTTGTCGCCCACTGACATTGCAGGTGTATTATCATAGTTGATATTTGTACTCAACAAGTAGGCAGGCTTAAGCCTGTAAATTGAGATGTTGACTTGCTTTCCCTTAATTGACACACCAAAATATTTCTCGTGTCTCTGCACTACAAGAAAAGGTCCATCGTATGGTGGTTCCAGGGGTTTTTTAACTCTGTCTATTCGTACAAACACATGAGAGCAGGAGCTGAGGTCTTTATGAACAAAGATAGCCTGCTTTGTTGTATGCTGAACTTTCATTGGTTTCAACCTGTCCATGTATCCCTGAAGCCTGCTTGCAAAGGTATCAGGTTCAATTTTTAAAGTAGGTACATGAAAGAACTCACCAGGAAGTCGAATGTTTGTCTCATAAACCATTTGTGCTATGGAGTGGTTTGTATCCTCCCTTATCGCTGATCTCAATCCCAAAAGCACCGTTGGTATGACATCAGTCCATTTTACACTGTTATGAGCTTTAATAGCTGCTTTTAGTGTTCTGTGGAAACGTTCGACTTTTTTTTTTTTTTTTTTTTTTTTTTTTTTTTTTGTTTTTTTTTTTTTTTTTTTTTTTTTTTTTTTTTTTTTTTTTTCCATTGCTCTGGGGGTGGTAAGGAGTTGTATGACAAACTTTGGCTCCACATATTATGGCCAGATTCTGAAATAATTCGGATTCAAACTGCCTCCCTTGGTCTGTGATTATTTTGCTTGGTACACCAAATCTACAGATCCAGTTTGCATAAAAGGCCTTGCTCACTGTTTCTGCAGTAATGTCTGGCAGAGGGATGGCTTCCATCCAACAAGTAAACCTATCAATGCAGGTTAAGCAATACATTTGACCATTTGATGGTGGAAGTTGTCCAACGATGTCAATGTGTATGACGCTAAATCTAACATCTGGTTCCTCAAACTGTGCAAATTAGGATTTAGGGTATATAATCACTTTAGCCTTTTGGCAATTTATACATGC